TACATATTTGCCCCTTCCTTTATTACGTAATTACATTTGAGTCCCCCGAGTATTTATACAAGATCTAAATACGGAAGCCCTGAGTATGGTACAAACACCTTTGGTAGTGAATGAGAAACTGAGTAAGATTGATGGTGGCGAAAATGCATATGAGGGTCTATATAGAAAGATTGTTGGTAGTTTGTTGTACTTAACAACTACAAGACCTAACTTGATGTATGCAACTTGTTTACTAGGTCGATTCATGCATAGTCCAACTAGAAAACACTTGGGAACTACCAAGAGAGTCTTGAGATATGTACAAGGGACTTTGGACTATGGGATTGAGTATGTCAAAGGTATAGCAGCTATGTTAATTGGCTACTGTGATAGTGATTGGGTAGGGAGTGAAGATGACATGAGGAGTACATTTGGATATGCATTTAGCTTAGGTTCAAGGGTATTTTCTTAGGCCTCTGTGAAGCAATGCAGTGTAGCCTTGTCCACTGCAGAAGCAGAGTATGTGAGTGCTGCATAAGCCACAATACAGGCAATTTGGCTAAGGTTTATACTAGCTAACTTTGGAGAAGAACAGGTTGAAGCAACACCTCTGCTATGTGACAATACCCCAGCTATTGCCATACCAAAGAATCCAATTTTCCATCAAAAATGCAACACCTCTACTATGTGACAATACCTCTGCTATGTGACAATACCTCTGCTATGTGACAACACCTCAACATGAGGTATCACTTTATCCGAGATGCAATACAAGATGGAACCATTGATCTAATATACTGCAACAGAAGATCAATTGGCAAAGCCTTGGCAAAGGATCGGTTTGAAACTCTCAAGAAGGAACTTGGAGTGAAATCAACTAAACATTTAGAAATGAGTGTTGACTTATAAATGTATTAGCTGATTTATATGGTGAACTAATCTGAGTCATTAGATCATAGTCTAGTTGGCATCTTAGATTAGATTGTATTAAGTCATAGCTCATGACAATTGTAATGATCCTAAGCAATTAGTTATGGATGGATGGCTGAGATGAAGTTATGTAATGATGTATGAGAGAGAGCTCCTCTCTCTAACGGTAATATTCCCTCACACTTTGTGAGTGATGTAATCGAAGAAGCTATATACACAGATAAAAACCTCTCTCTAAAATTCTCTCTAAATTTTCTTGGATTTCAATGGTGATTGTTCTTTATGAGTCATAAGCTCAACTTGATAACAATCCATTGAATTCATACACTCAAATTTTTCATTCTAACAACGAGCACATAAAAACACAAAAACTAAACAGTTACAACTAACTAACCGTATTACTCTGCACTTCCCGCCACTCACACTATTTAACTGTTTCCATCCCCGGAAAAGGTCGACCACGACCAGGACAAGATGGCCAAGACAGAAGTCTATAGCTGAGTTATGGTGTTAATTTCTTGATTTTGATTTTCTAGGTGTTTCTTGCTAATGTAGCTGAGTTATGGTGTTAATTTCTTTATTTTTTATTCGTTAATGTTAGTGATAACCAAAATTTTAAACCAAATGATGTGTCACTAATTGGAAATAAGCATGTTAATCAACGCGTATGTAATAATTCAGCCATCAACAACCACATCATTTGATTTGCAAATTTAGTTTCTTTCTAATCATGCACGTCTTTTTTATTACGATATAGGGAAATAAGGGCAAGAAGCATGAAAATGACGAACTCGAGGTAATTTTCTCTTCTTTTCATTTTTTTATTTTTTTGTCATTTTCGTATTTATTTAGTTTTACTTTCTCTTTTTTCTTTCACACACGTCTTCTTGATCACAATATAGGGAAATAAGGGCCAGAATCATGAAATCGACAAACTCGACGTAATTTTCTCTATCTTTTTTTGTTTGTCATTTTCGTATTTATTTGGTTTTAATTTCTCTTTTTTCTTTAATGGTTGGAGTATCTTAAACATTGTGCGAAAACGTGAAAATATATGGTGTCACTATTTTTTATTATTTTTTTGCAGGCGTAAGGTTGGATTAATTTTCATACCGAAAAAATATATATATTGATAGGGCGATGAAGTTGTAAAAGAACAAAGGAAAAAAATTAGAAATAATAAAAAAAAAAGAGTAATGTTAGGGAGTTTAAATTTGTAGACAAAATTTTGTAAATTAAATGATATGAAAATGGATAATTAAATTAAATGTTGATAAACGTGGTGTCACTATTTTTTATTATTTTTTTGCAGGCGTAAGGTTGGATTAATTTTCATACCGAAAAAATATATATATTGATAGGGCGATGAAGTTGTAAAAGAACAAAGGAAAAAAATTAGAAATAATAAAAAAAAGAGTAATGTTAGAGAGTTTAAATTTGTAGACAAAATTTTGTAAATTAAATGATATGAAAGTGGATAATTAAATTAAATGTTGATAAACGTGCTTATTTCTTATTGATGACACATCATTTAGTTTCAAAATTTTATCTACGAATTATCTTTCTAGCATTATTCATAAAAATATGGTGGAAAATCCACGCATGGACCCACAAAAAAAGGTGAAAATTTTAATGGCAGAAAAATGTAGTTTGGCGAAATTCCAACCGTAAAACCCCAATTCGTCTTTCTCAAACTTGGATTTTGAACTTCGATAAAATTCTCATCAACCCCCGACTAGGGATGGGCAAATACCCATTGGTTATGGGTAACCGCGGTTACCCGCCCATTTAAATTAAACGGTTACGGTTATGGGTAACCGTTTAGATAAATAAACGGTTATGGGTATAACCGTTTACCCGCGAAATTTAAATGGACGGTTATGGTTATTAACCACGGTTATAAACGGGTAACCATTTACCCATTTATTTTATATATGTAAAACTAACACAAAACATGTTCTCGATCCAATAATACTTAACACCCAATAAATTAGCAAGGAATTCATCGGTCATTCTCTTAATAACACTACTACAGGAATGATGATTCTCATCATCAAGGAATTGGCCAAATTAATTTAAATTCCTTGCGGGTAACCGTGAAATTGACAGAAATGCTTTGATAAAAATGTCTTCTAAACAATTTTTGTAACCCAATAATACTTAACAAATATTATATTTACCTTCATTGGTAACAGTTAAAAATAGGGGTGGGCGGGTGCGATTTGGTGCGGTTTCGAACGAAACCACAACCGAAACCGAAACATTTTGCGGTGCGGTGCGGTTTTGAAGCCAAAACCGAAATGAAACCAAACCGTTCGGTTCGGTGCGGTGCGGTTTCAAATGGTTTCGGTTTGATTTTTGAGAAAAAAAATGTACAATTTAAAATATACACCTATTTATGCATAAGACGGTTTTATTTTCCTCGTATATTAAATAATGAATATGCAGTAAAATTGCAGCAAAACTGCATAAAAAACAGCAACAAAAACTGCACCAAAACTGCACAAAATTGCACCAAAAAATAATGCAGCAAAACTTCATAAAAAAACAGCACCAAAACAGCCCCAAAACTGCACCAAAAAACTGCACAAAACAGAACAAAAAATCTGCACCAAAAGTGCAGCTAACTTGTACCAAACTTGTACCAAAACTGCAACAAATGACAACTACTAAAATTGAGACAACATCCAATGCATCAAAGGATTTAAACTTTAAATCCTTATGCATGACATCTACTAAAATTGAACTTGATCACCAATCACAATACTTTACAACCCAATTGAAAGGTTAAGTTTGCCATAATACAAACCTATAAGATATAACCTAGTTGAAAAGTTTAAAATATTAGTTATATAACATTTATTTATTATATGGTGCGGTTTCGGTTTCGGTGCGGTTTTGAAAACCCAAAACCGAAACCAAACCGTTTTGTGTGCCGCGGTTCGGTTTTGAAACCGAAACCGTTTCAAAACCGCAAAACCAAACCGTTTGGTGCGGTTTGATTCGATTCGTGTTTCGGTTTTCGGTTCTAAGTGCCCACCCCTAGTTAAAAATATCGTCTGTAAACTATTATTTCAATTATTGGAATGGTATAAGGACTTAAAAAATTAAAATATGGAAATGTATGATGAATGTACCTATAACGGTGTTTAATTGTCAAAAAAAAAAATATGACAATTTTTTTTAATTTTCAAGTTGTTAAAAAACATGTAGACAGGTGAAAAAAGGTAATGGTAAAAAAAAAAGATAAACGGGTTAAAAATGATAAATGGGTAAACGGGTATTAAACGGTTACGGTTAAATGGGTATGCGGTTATGGGTATGGGTATAATCGTTTAGACAATTATCCAACGGGTAAACGGTTATGCGGGTATGAGCATAAATGGTTATGGATAAATTAACCGCGGTTACCCGCCCGCATAACCATTGCCCATCCCTACCCCCGACATTGTTTTCAGCCGATTTGACTCCAGCAGCAACGTTGATGGCCTTTAACTTCAAGTTTCTCTCTTGCTATGATTTTTTTTGTTTTGGAATTTGATATGTATTTTCTATGTGTTTGTTATGACACTGCCATTTAAAGAGGTTGGCTTAGATTATTCCATGAGTGTTAAGAGATATTAGTATTTGTGATAGGATGGTGTGCTGAGTTAGTTAGCATTGTATTCATGTTAATCAAGTAATGAAATACAGTTTTGTCAACCCAAAATCTTCTATGTTTTCAAAAGTATTATAATACAAGTACTGGATTGCTAGCTAGCTTACATTGATTGGAGGTTTATTGTATGGCCAATCGCGCTCCATTGCAACACAGTGCTCCATGATAAAATCGAAAGCATCGTATACGTAGCCGTCCTCCTTCTCAACTGAAAGCTCCTCTTTTGGCTTAGGCCTCCACAGTTTTCTTGGAGCCCTGTCCACAACGTGTTTGAAAGATAGCTCAACTTGGACTCCCTTTTCTTTAAAGTAGAGTGCTTCAACACATTCCACAGCCGCTGTTGCCCAACAGTCGGCTGAGACAGTAGATTGAGGAATGAAAGCTCGAAGACAAAGAGAATCGGGCTTTTCCAAAGAATTACAGCAGCTTTCCCACTCCCTTTGATTTTCATATACAAAAAAGTATCTTCCACTTTCCTACCAAATATCTCTTTATTTTGGCACATAAATGAAGGGATCGAAGAGATTATGGCAGATCATGTTCACCAAGAAATGACCCGAAATTTGATCTTGGTCCATTTGAGATTGTTCCTTTTAATCGTAATCAAAAATGTTTTCTTGTCTCTCGTTTCTTCTCTAAACAAATTGAAGAACCTAATGGATCGAATGAATGGAAGAAGCTAATGTGCTACGTAGATGAGGTTTACTTTATAGTAGGCCCCAACTCAATGATTGCCCAAGAATTAGACCGCAAGTGAACATTAAATAGTGTTTTAAAAAATTGATACAAAAATCATTTGTATTTTTGTTTTCAGCCGATTTGACTCATGTTAATTAGGACTCTGTTAATCACGTTTTGTTCGGGTAATTAGGAACATATTTTGTTCGGGTAATTAGGAACATATTTTGTTCGGGTAATTAGGGGTCAGTTGGTGTCTCCGGGGTAACTAGGAGCAGGGCGAGTTCAGTTCGCAGCACAAATGCAGTACCTTCTTAGAATTAATTTTCTGCAGAGTACCAACACAAGTAGTAACAGCTTGCCAGTTTGTCGTTTGAAGCAATATATCTCTTTATAAACTGGCACAGCTCATATGGCAGGATCTGGTCTTCTAAATGCGAAGGTGGCGAAGGTGCATCTATGAAGCTCAGGTCCAAATCAGATTCCTGAAAACAAACAAAACCTGATTATCAGAGTCCTAATTACCCAGTTTGAAATATTTTACCCTAATGGAAAAGGAATGTTACCAATGCCGCTCATTCCAAAATGTATCGTCGTCCATTTTTGTCATTGTCCTGTCTTCGTCTTCAGTCTCTATTTGGGTGATGGTGGCCATACTGGAGCTGGTTATACGAGAGATGTACGAGGCATGTTCGAGAGGTAAGGAGAGAAAGATCGATATACGGGGGTGTGTTCAAGAGGTAAGGAGAGATGGGGTGCAGAGGTGTGAAGAGGTTAGCTAGGGTTTGAGTTCTAATATAAGTTAATGGATGGAGATGGATTAAATGGGGTTGTGGTCGGTAGGTGCACTGGTGGTGGAATAAATGAAAGGTGGCTTGCAAGTTGGTGTTGCTCAAAGCACGTAAGGCAAACAGACTAAGTTCCAATATGTTTAAAGTGAAGGATCTGAAAGTACATGCAGAAACCACCGGTTGATAACCTAGCCTACCAACCACAATGTCACATTAAAAGTGCTCTACAGGATCCACGGAGAAAAGAAAAAAATGGAGAAACAGAATTTGTGTGTTTGACTCAATGTAAAAGTGGGTAAACCAATAAGAAATGACTTTCATATGAGACACAGTATGTGAACTGATAAGGGAGACAAATTGGGAACATATATGTTTCCGTTGGCTAAATAACAAAATTATGTTAACGAAACTAAACTATATCCATCGATCTAGCTAAGTAACGCTGATTAATTCGCACTCGTTCTCTCCATCACCTGCCTTCAGATTTAAAAAAAAAAAAAAATACAAGTCAGTAAAGGTATAATTGGATTAATAAGGTAGGAAGATAGTCTTGGTAAAAATAAAAATAAAAAAAAGATTTAAGCCCCTGTGGTGAACTCTGTTAAGAATTTGGCAAAAAATTGAAATTTTCGTCAACTTTCTGTTAATTGTAGCATATGAGGCCTCACATGCTAACAATCGATGAAGAGTCCCGTTTTAGCCTCATATGTGTGGCTCACGTGCTAATAATTAACGAAGAGATGACATAATTTTTAATTTTAGGTCTAAATCCGAACAGACTTAACCACAATGGCTTAAACTGAAGTTTTTTTTACCACATGGGCTATCTTCCAACTACCTTATCACAATAGAGACTAATAATCCAATTACACCAAGACTAAATGTGGGCACTTCATTTGGGAAGGATGGGTTTTTCAAAGAGTGACACTCTGACTTGGATATTCATGTTGAACCGAAGCATGTTGACCGATACTTGAAAAATGACGAAACCAAAATATGCGTGTGATGTGTAAAAAGTACGAACAAATTAAAGTAAGAGTACAAAAATAAAACGAGTATAACGCTTTCAATTCTTATTTTATTTTCCTAGTGCTCTCAGTTCTTATTTTATTTTATTTTGCTGATGCTTTCAGTTCACCTGCTATCATCATCAATAAAATAAGAACTGAAGGCACTAGGAAATAAAATAAAATAATACCCCTTTGAAGTGAACATTTTCATTCTGTTTTTTGCTTTGCTCCTTTCGTTTTGAAACATTACAGTGTTAAACAATTCCAGCTTCTTTTCTTTTCTTTTTTTTTTTGAACAAATTCCAGTATTAAATGGCTAATTAAACATAAATGACTTTAAAATAATTAATTAAAAAAATAACTGCAAAACAAACAATTTGGAATTGTTACAGTTAGACCTATACGAGCAGTCCTTTTGATCCTTCACCTCTTCACGATTGGAGAGTGAAACGAATCTGACATTTCAACTCCAAAGGAGCTGCTAGGCCGGCCGGGCTTTGTGTACAAAAACATTCTTGCCCGAGACGAAGTATATATCAAGCATGCCATCTCTTTTCTTTAGTCCGATCTCGGCCGATTCGACCCGCCTTTTTTGGTATTGTACAATGGTAAGATCCATCCGGACCCGTGTTTGCTTCTTCCGTAACACCGCCAATATAATATGAACAGAGCTACCATGACACCGGCTGGGATAGCCCATCTGCCCCAATACAAAGAACAAATTAAAACACAACTTGACTTGCAATCCAAGCAACATCCTGAGGACTGAGTAGGAGGGGGGTTTTGTTACCTGTCTAGATCAAGGACGGGACTGTAAACGAGTGTTTCCCAAGTGGATACTATTACATGCCAAACGGAGTTGTAGTAAAGAGACTCTGCAGACCAAAACATCCTTGTGTATGTCTCTAAGAAGATGAAGAGGATCCAGGCCCCGATTTCTATCAATATAAACTTTATGATGAACCGGCCAACAACCACCATGACAAGGGAGAAGGCGACCAACCAATTGAAGAGCCGGTGATTGTATTCTTTTATAAATAGAGAACGTGACTTCCCCAACATCTGCGAATCAAATCATATACATCATATAAATGAGCTTTTGCACCCAACGGGGAAAAATGAAGACAAGGGGAAAAAATGGAGGACACAAGGTATGCCTGACCTTCATCATGCGAACCTCATAGTTTGCTTTTGCAGGTCCAACACACTTTTGCTCAAAACTTTGGTTGCACTGCAGGAAACCTGCGTTGAATTTTGCCATGGATGGAAGCCTGAGAACTTGAAGTTGGTCCATTTTATCCTCACATCTGGTATACAATGCCTCACAGAGCTTTGAAGATTGATATTCGTTTGCCAAGACCACATTCTTAAACACCTAAACAAATCCCAGAGTTTAAGCAGCAAAGTCATGTTAAAAAAATTGCAGGATGCGTAGCTGGTGCAAGTGAGGGTGCCAACAAAATATGTAAAACGTGACGAGGAAAGGGGTATAGGGCTACTATTACAAAGTGGATATACCTTGTTTACTTCTTCTTGTAGTTGCTCGACTGACTTCTTTGCATGGTGACGGCCAAAATGTTGCTCCTCAAAAAGTTTCATCACTTCCTCCATGGACCTTTCATGGTAGTCTTGCACAGATTGCTCTATGAGAGGTAAACTGAGTTTTTCCATCCTTTCATGGTAGAGCTTTAAGCATCTCTCAAGAATACCCTTGTTGAAAACCTCCACCAGAGAGCCTGTTGATGGGATCTCCCCCTTGTTCAACGCTTCAAGAATCTGAAAGAAGAAATAATTAAAAACACACACACACAAATAAACTAAAAGAACAAATGTAGGTAGGATCCATTATTTTTATTATCTTCAATTCCGAATGGATGGAATGCCACACAACATAAACTTTAATGAAACTTAACGATTCTCCTATCGTAGCTGATTTTAATCAACCAACGCTATAATATAACAGGTACCTGCTCCAGAAAAGATACAAACTCCTTTCCACTTAGAGTTCTTCCCTGCACAACCTTTGGACGGATGATACTAGAAACAAGCTGTTTTAGTTGTTCCTTTTTCTTTACATACATTGGGTCAAGCTCACCATCCTTCATGTCGCAGAGTTTCGTTCGGTCAAGGTGAGGCTGTTTGAAAAGTTTGGAATCACCACAGAATCAAAACACTTGACAAACAAATAGAAAATATATCTACAGGAAAGGGAAGTTTAAATTGATTGGAATAGCAATCCTAGTCAACCATGTTTCACATTTACCTCTCCCTATCACATGAGTGATGCAGTGATAGCAATAACTGGAATTATAAATTTCTGTAATCATAAAAACTTTCCCGATACAAAATATAGTATTCCCAGAGCACGGAATATCTAAATGCAATGAATAGGTAGGGTGCAGGTGTGCAAAGATAAATATCTTCCATCTCACAAGCCTTAGGGCAATTGAAAACAACTCAGAATCCAAAACTTCAATTTTTGTTTTCCCTACCCTTGGAAACATAAAAGAAAGTACATGCACAATATTACAATATTATGGATTATTTTGTATGAGTTAAAAACGACGCTTACTTTATCAACAGTGAACTCAAGTGACTTAATAAAAGTTAAGATGACCATGTAGCATGCATAGCAACTAAGAAATCATCAACTACTGCACACAATAAAAAATAAAGCTTGTCCAAAACATGCCAACGTCAAGGAAACTTGACACAACATCTTGTCCATTTTTAACAAAAAAATCTAGGGATTTGCTGTAAATGTGTAATGCTGAGAAGCTTTATTGAACAATCACCCAACTAAAATATAAAACCAAGAAAATGAATGCAAAAACAGCTGAAAATAGGAAAACCCATACTTGTGGTAAACTGAAGGCTGTGCTATTATCACCCATAATAGCCAAAGAATCTCGGATCTGGTTAACCTGATAAAGACACAAAAAGGGTTCGCTTTCAATCCGTGAACAGCAATATCTCAGCGGCAAGTGATAATATAAGGGTGAAAAATACCATATCAATATTTTTGTTGCCTGCAATGTCACCAAGAACCCACTATTAAATCCATGGAAACAAATAAAGAAATAAATAACTAGTGCTTTTATGTATAAAGCATAGAGGGAGGGAAAAAACACTAACCATCCTTGTTAGGGACGTGAAGGAGAGCTTCATTAACCATTTCTTGCACAGATTTCCCTTCTGCAGAACAAACACCAGAATGTCAATCTATGAGCTTTCTGCTGGAAGCTTGGAAAAAAAGGGTGGATAGGTGAAAAAACAAATCTTGGTAGACTGTCATTGTAACTTCTTTGTTGCTCATATTTAACTTTAACAAACATGTTATAGGCATTTCTCAAACTTACGTAAAAAATCACGCTGGATAAGCCACAATAGTTTTGCAGGTTCAAAAGCAACATCTTGTCCCTACAAAACAATCCGACTATTCACGTGTAAATTATTGCTAGATATTACACGCAAGGAACAATGATTTAAGGGATTGGAACTTACCTTCACTCTATTTACCACATGAAATTTGCAACCAAGAGCAAACATGTCAGTTTTGATAATAGAGGGAAAAAATTAAATACAACAACAAGAAGGAATAAAAGAAACTGTGGACCTTCCATAAAATTCTTCAGCAAGCTCAACAGCAAAAGACAACCGAGCAATGTCAGCTTCACGGATCTACAGAATGACAACCAAAGAGATAAATCATATAAGGCAAACTGGGCTTGAACAATAATGGACCAAGGAGAACTAGTACATGCTTCTAAGACGCCACACGTTGTACAACTCACCGTCTCAGCCAGGTTATAAACAAGGACAGAACTCATAACAGTTGCCAGAGCAAAAATCCTGCAAAAGCAGACTCAGAAACCCAGCATAATATACAAAACTTGAATGACCATCAAAGGAAAATTGAAGATTACATGATGACTTGAAGATTACCGGTCATCATATACGTTTGACTTCCCAACACTTTCAAATCCCTCAGTATCAAGGTAAAAAACTGAAGTTTTCACTCCATCAATATCCAATTCTATTGGGGTTCCCCATACCCAAATCCCTGTAAGAGGCAAATAGCCACCGTAAATATATCTCTCAAAAAACAATAATGC